GTAGATGAATGAAGTTAAAGTAGAGCTAACAAATACATTTATATATATATATATGTGTGTGTTTCAGAAGTTACGTTAACATACTTCTTATTTTAGAAACTAAAATTAAAATTAAAATACACGGAACAATAAATTCTAGAAAAACAGAACAAATTTGTGGGTTTAGTTCAAAACCACTCATCAAACCACCTATTGCAACTCTTTCCTTAAACATCCTAATGACAGAAGTCGGCTCCATCAGAAATCAGCTCTTCATCAGCAGTAGGTCGGCCTTTGAATGAATCTTGAATTCTCTCCACGTCAAGTTGCATTTGTCCCACAACTTGGCCCCTTGCAGCGTCATCATAATATTGTTCTGCAAATTAAAGACTATGGTTGTTCCTCACGAGCAATAAACTTTACCGTAAAAACACCAACCATATTAACCATAAAATCACCTTGGAATTGAAGAGATCCCTGCAAGGTTGTGATCTGAAGCTATTATATCCAGACTAGCTTCGATATATTATCATCATCAAGAGCATCGATCCTTGGTTCCTCTTCGGGTATATTCGAATCCGATGTAATCGTCGGTGCGTTCCCTTTGTCTTTGTTCGGCATAGCTTGCGAGGAGCTCACTTCAGCCTGGCTGTTGGGCTCCGTTCCCCACGATCATTCAAGAATAAATGAAGTTCAGTAGGGGCTGTTTCCACGTGAACGACAAGCAACAAATTGATATCGTGCATAACAGTCCGCACCGTGCTGCCCTGCTGCTTCGGCCTCTATTCATATCGGTTATTTAGTTGATGCTGAAGGTCTCCAGACGGAACAGCATGCTCAGGGATGTCTTGGCCACGTGCTCAGCCCGCGCTTTACTCAAATATTGTCTAAGATCCTTGTGTGCTCGGGGCAGCACGTCTGAGATCGGTTTCAAGCCTTGCTCGCTCGCCAGCCTCCTTGCTCGATACAAACGCTGCCAACACCTCTTTTGGGATGGAGAGCGCTGCTGGTATATTTTTGGAGACCTTTTAATTGCCCATCTCTTGTTCATGAGAGCTCTTTTTGAAACTCACTTCGGCCGAAGAGTAATTGTTTCTTGCAAAATTTCTTCCTTCTTTTTTAAACTCACTTTGGCTTTGGTGTTTGAAGGTGCCAATCTGTCCCATACAGGAGCTAAGCACGGAGGATAACAAACCCAGCCCAAATGCTAGGTGATAAGTCTGCGCAGCGCCAGTAGGTTCTGAATTTTCTTGTGCATCGGCGCTAGGGTGAATTTTGACCACCTTCATAGGAGAAAGGAATGGATTAGTGTCGATCTTCACCTCTAGCCCATTGGCGAGGCGTAATCAACCTTCTTTGATTGTCTTTCTTACCGTGTTTCGAAATGCAATGCAATTTCCAACGGTATGGCCAGATATTCTATGCTATTTACAAAAGCTCTTTCCGTTTAACTCTTCTTCGGATGGAAATTCATGCCGGTTCTTCAATCAGAGCTACTTTAGATATCACGATGACTGAAAAAATATGCACTAACTTGACGGTATGGCCCTTTCGGATTGACCTCTTTTTTCGTAAGTTTTTCAAATCCGGGCACGTGTATGCACTAACTTGGGCAATTTCAGTAAGGCATTACTGGAATTCGGCTCATCATTATGCTCTTGGACAACATGAACCGCTTCGTAAGTGCACTGCTGACAAATAGCCTGTGCCAGTGAAGCCTGCAAAACTGTGCAACCCTTGCGGGAACGCATTTATTGGATTTTCAAACTGCCCGAGTCTCATCTAGGTATCCGGATGACTGGAAACCATGTAGGTTCCACGCCGAACGTCGGGAAGTAGGCCAAATGCAGTGGCGGCACCCAACCGCTCACTGAGCTTTGCTCCAGCATAAATAGAAGTTGTTGTACCATAGATGTTGCTTCGGTAGGTGGTGGTTTTGGGTTGGCTGCCATGACTGGCGGAAAGAACGTCAGCGGGGCTGTCGAAACATATGTCGATCCGGCTAATAGCACTGTTGGGATGAATAATGGGTTTTGCCGCTAATGGACGGGCTGCTTTAATTTGTGCCATTGGCGTCTTAGATGCCTCTCCAACGAATCGTTTAGCCTCTCTCTGCATTGAAGCAAAAGGCTGGTCGTCGGGGACATCTTGATTCCGTCAAACGATCGTAACCTGACTGAAGCGTGGCGCTTTAGGAGCTGTTGGTTCGGCCGCTAATGCTGGCTGTTCAATCCATACAGGTTCAAGTTCAGGGGCCATATGAAAAGGCTTTATTTTCCTTCTCTCTTCTTCTTGGAACCGAGCTATCTCGTTGCGTATTATTATTGGGCCAAGAATATCTGAGAAGTACTTTGTCAACGACAGTGCTGGATTGTAAAAATCGGACTGCACTCCCATGCGAATACTCTCCCGAATACTTGGCACCGTAAGAAGTGGATTATGATCACCGGCCTCCGTCGAGATAGAGACCTTCATGTGCGGCGTGTTCTTCAGCGCAATCGGTGGTTGTTCGCCGATGCATGGGTTATCTCTGGGTTCTTGGTTATTTTGAAACTCATTGCATCACTTGACGCATGGCTTCACAAGTTCATAAGCGGAGAAGAACATGAAGTGTCCCAGCAGGCGTGCCAATTTGTTGATGCTCAAAATATTTTTCGACCACTTATAAGAGCGAATCATCCGAAAATCAGATGAATTCTCCGGCTTTTTAAAAAAAAAATCTGAAACCGTATTTGAAAAAAATAATAAAAGATTAGAAGAACAAGAAAAAGAAATAAACATGAAGGAAAAATAGGTAAGGAAAATTAGGCAAGAAAAGTAATAAAAGAGCAAGAAAAGCAAGGATAAAATTAATGAATGTAAGAAAAATTAGAGAAGTACATTGCATGAAAGGAAATTAATGGTCTCACCTCAAAATAATTTACACAAATATATATATATATACTACTCTAATTAAATCTAAATTAGTTCGAATTTTATTTTATGTACAAAAATAAATAATCAAATAATTACTCATAACCACCCTCGATTGGGCCGATCGTATAGGTTGTACGTCGGGCCACTAAGCTTCATTTACGAGTCCAATATAATTTTTCTCAAATAATATTTTGAAATAATAATAATAATAATAATACACGACATTTACCCATAATAGTAAATTATAAATGATTAACTTAAGAAATATAATTATATACAAGTTCTTATAAAATAATATGAATAAAGTCGATATTATAGCAATTGATAATAATGAAAAGCGAACTGGTGATCATATTACAAAGACAATCGCTACAAATTAAAACTTTAAATTAAATCAACAAATAATACATATCACTACAAAAAGAGTAACAATTCATAGCTGTAAACACTACAAAAAATTGAAAATTTTTAACAAATAAATAACAACAATAAAATGTTTATAACGAATAAGGGCATTAGTCAGAAACTTCATTGTGGTAAAAAGTAAAAATTGAATTAGAAATTATAATATTATTTGTTATGCTTAATTTTGCATAACTATAAAATACCATTAAAAGGTAACTATACTATCTATTTGTTGCTTTTAATTACATATCAATTAAATTTCTACCTTTTTCTATAACAAAAAGAATTAAATAACCGAATCATTGACACAATACTTGTCATATTTTTCCAATTCGTCTTCAATCATGAACCTGATGCAGCACTTCCCATATCATCTTCCTCTTAGTAAAATTGCGAAGTTTGCCCGATGTTGTTGTTTATTCACTAGTCATCCTACAATTACTAAGGTTGTCGACTTCAGCTGCACTACATTTTGCAAATTTCATTCATTTTTGCACTTAACTCATTTTAGTTGACTTTAAGTGGATCTTGATTTCATGTGTTGATATGTTGTTTATAAATTCACCTTGACTGATTTAGCTTTAGAGAAAATTCTACATTTCATTTGATAATCAAACTTTTTAGCTTCCAATAGTTGTTACATTAATTCATGTCCAATGAAACTGTACCCACCCAAATAATTACTCGGGGTCCGCCCCGGTGCAAGTACAGCTCAAAGCAGGCGACTTCCAGCCCAATCAGCGGCCCAACTTCCAGTCAAACCTGATTGGCCCAAATCCATAAGCAGGCCTGATGGCATGTCTGGACCATTGCATACGGAGGCCCAGCTGGAAGTGCAAGTAGCCTGTGGAGGTGGAGGTGGAGATGCCGAGAAGGTGGTGAAGTGGATGTTGAAGTTGTTGGAGAAAAAAAGTAGGGATAACATTTTATCCAAAAAGATTCAAAATATATAAGAAAAAATTAGATCACACACGCCATTCAATTCATCATGGTCCTGCACTTTTACTCTTCAAGATTGTACAATATTTTTAGGTGAGACGGTCACTCTGCATCCGCCAAATGTCATATCGATAGCTCAATTCCGACTAAATGATAATCAATGTCATATCGATAGCATGAACCGGCTAAAGAATAATCAATACCACATCATAGCCCAGTCCCGACTAAATGATAATAAGTGTCATATTGATAGTCCAGCTAAACGATAATCATTGTCATATCTACAGCCCAATCCCGGCTAAACAATAATCAATATTATATCGATAGTCCAATCCAGGCTGAACAATAATGAATACCACAATAATCACACAAAGCACATAAGCACATATCTATATCATATTACGTATCTCAGTTGATCAAGCATATAGTCGCGTATCCAAAGATTTTCATATTTCGCTAGTTCTGGGTTTCTTCAAAGTTGTTGTGATCCCTCTTTATTTCCCTTTCAGCGAGGCACATTTGTTATTTATTTGTTACTCTATGTAGATGACATTATTATTACGGGTAATAATAAATCACTGTTGGTTTCTTTGATCTCTCATACGCATCGCGAGTTCACTATTAAGGATCTTGGATGACTAAGTTATTTTCTTGGCCTTGAGGTTTCTAATACTATGATGGCTTTTCGTTGGTCAAGCCAAGTATGCACATTATTCTTTAGCGAGGTGGCTTTTTGGAGTTTAAGCATGTCCTCCACTTCTTTAGCGGCCCGAGAATCTCTTGTCGGTGGTGGTGTTCCATTTCATGATCCTACAGCATTCTGGTCTCTCGTTGGTGCTCTCCAATATCTGACCATCACCCCTTCTGACCTTACATATGCAGTTAGCTCAGTTAGTCAGTTCTTGTAATCACCAATTGATGATCATTTTTTGGCAGTGAAGAGCATCCTTAGACGTTAAGAGTACATCGCAGTTTGTTCTTTCCCTTTAATAAGAGTTCCAACTCTTTGATCATTTGGTACTCTGATGTAGATTGGGTAACTTTGTATCATGGAGTGCCCAATACAATCTTCAATTGCTTGCTCTAGTTGTAAATCTGAGTACCGGGCCTGGCGAATGCAGCTTCTGAATCAGTTTGGGTGACCAATCTCCTTTGTGAGCTTTGTACCAATTTGCTATCCCGGCCTACTCTTTTATGTGGTAATAATAGCGATATATTCCTAAGTCAAAATCCGGTGGCGCACAAACGAACTAAGCATATTGATTTGGACTATCATTTTGTTCGTGAGCTTGTCTCTTCCGGAAATATATTCACCAATTTTATGCCTTCTCATCTTCAGTTAGTTGATATTTTCACAAAGAGTCTTTCTCAACCCGCTATGGAGTTCCTTTGGCCCCAAGCTTTGCGTATGTTGTGATCTCACACAGCGCTTGATGGAGGGGGATGGGGTTGATATTATTAAACTAAATTAGGTGAATTAGTTTTATATTTGATGTTTGAAATTTGAAATATATTTAATAGAATTATTTAAATTAATTAGTTAATTATTCCTATTAATATCTATGTTGTAATTTTTAGCCATTCTGTTATATTATAAATACAAGCATTTGCATCACCACAATTATTAGTGATTTTCTAAATGTCATTTTTCTAGCCCAGGCTTTTCCTTTTTCCCCTAAAGTTTTGATGGCCCTGGCTATTTTTTTCATAAAGTGCTGATTGGCCCTGGCTTGATTATGGACGTGTGCGCGGGCTTATATTTTTTCCTTAGTATGTTGTGGTCTTGAGATATTCCATCTGAATTTGAAGAAACTTAACCCACACTACAAAAAATATCTAAAATCAGCTACAATATTTCTACCTATGAAATATATTTGTAGTTAAAATGTGTCATTTAGCAACATAAATTAATTTAATTTTTAAAAATAAATTATGTACTACAAAATTAATTTCGCCGCTACTACGATATTTTTGCTATAAAAATTTTATTTTATAGCACAAGGTTTTAGCTACAAAACTATTTTTTATAACTAAAACTGTTTTGCTAAAAAAATCATCCATATTTTGTTATAAAACTCTTTTTTTATATTTTTTTTATAGCAAAAAAACTTTAGCTACAAAATCATATTTTCGAAGCTATGTCTCTTTTTTTAACTTTCATTTCAAAAGACTTATGTTTTGTTACAAAATTCATAATATTCGCCAAAAATCTTTACTAACAAAGTATAGACGACAAAATGGGTTCCGTCGCAAAAACGTTTTTGCTATGTATTCATTATTTTTGCTACAAAATTTTTTGTAGCTAAATTTTAATTTTTTTTGTTGTGCCACCACATTCAAGCATTCTGCCTAATCTCAAGTAATAATTCTCTATGCCTAGTTTGTCCAATGTTAACATTTATAATACATCAAAAAGAAAAAATAAGAAAAGAACAATTTCTATTGTGTTTCATGAGTGAGAAACAATGCCCCACATTTTGTTAAAATATTTCCTAATTTTCTTTTAGTTATATTTATTTTAAAAATTATTGGTATTTGAAATTTATTATCGTGTGATTAATGGTAGTTCTTATTAGACTATTATTTTGTAAAGTCTTAAACTTTATTGAACACCTATCCTCAACACTAGCAATCGAACTTGTCGTTAAGCTCGTCGGATTCCATGAGGGGTGGAAGCTCCCCAAAAAATGTTTCAATTTGAATAAATGGATTTTTTACTCAAAGTTCATTAGTATTGAACGCATTCAATCATGTCTTATGTTAAGGTTAAGCTGTCATTTTCTCAACTAACGACATGTTTCTCTCAATATATTAATATCAATGCAGGGACTTCAGATATAAAGTGAAAGTCCGCCACCAGCTACCGATAGAGGAAATAAGTTCGAAATGATACTCTCTATTAGGAATATGACCCAAACAAATATTTGCAAAACCTTAACAATGACAAAAATAAGAACGAAAAATTTAAACGACACAAGAATATACGTGGTTAAGTCAAGATGACCTACATCCACGGGTAAAGACGGACCAAACTTTCACTATCAAGAGATGAATACAATATAGGCTCGAATAGATATTGAAAATCCCACAACTGTCACTCTCCCAAGAGCTTTCAAAGCCAAACAAGTAAGCCACGACTATATATGGAAATGCTACTTGTCAATTTTGGTGTGTCTAAAATCCAACCAAAGATTACTAATTTATAGGAAAGGACTTATGAAAAATTTGTCACCACAAGCAACGTGGGACAATATTTTTCTTCAATTTAAAATACTCTGATGTGGGACAAGGCCGCATAATGAATCTCCACCTTGGCGTATTCAACATTGACAAAATAGTGAGCTTGCTCCACCTTCTCGACAAAAGCCCCATTGGGCGGAATCATGAACACTGAACTCCAATCCAACGCAAACACTGTTTGAACTTGAGGACTGGAAGAGATTTTGTAAATATATCAGCAGGATTCTCCTTTGTAACAATTTTTTGAATGTAAACCTTCTTTTTAGCAATGATATCACAGATGAAATGATACTTTACATTGATATTCTTCATTTTGTCGTGATGCCTTTGGTCTTTAGTCAAGTGTATCACACTTTGACTGTCACAATTAATAACAGTAGTACTCTGATGTAGACTGAGCTTGCCCAAAAGACCTTTCAACCATAAAGCTTCTTTAATTGCCTCTATCACTCCGTATATTTTGTCTTTGTAGTAGACAATGCCGCAACTGGTTGTAAGGATGCTTTCCAGCTAACTATACAACTGTCAATGCAAAATACATAGCCTGAGAGAGATCTTCTTATATTGAGATCACCAGCATAATCAAAATCTACATATCCAACCAGAGAGCTATTGTTTCTTCCAAACTCCAAACACGCATTCGAAGTACCTTGTAAGTATCTCAGAATCCACTTCAGAGCCTTCAAATGTCCTTTTCCAGGACAAGACATATATCTGCTGACAACACTGACTGTTCGCGAAATATCTCGACGGGTGCATACCATTGCGTACATAAGACTGTTGACTGCATTTGAATAGGGAACCCACACCATATCTTCTTCCTCTTCAATTGATTGTGGTGACTGAGCAGCTGATAATCGAAAGTGATTAGCAAAAGGGACACTCACTGGTTTGGTATTATTCATGCTAAAACACTACAAGACCTTCTTAACATAGCTTTCTTGAGTCAAGACCAGTCTTCTCTGTCCACGATCACGTTGGATATCCATGCTAAGAATTTTCTTCGTTACTCCCAAATCCTTCATTTCAAATTCACTACTAAGTTGCAACTTCATAGAGTGAATTTCGGACATATTTTTGGCAGCAATAAGCATATCATCAACATTCAACAATAGATAGATGCGAGTACCGTCAGCGAACTTGCGAAAATAAACACAACTATCAAAAGTACTCCTCAGATATCCATTACTCAACATAAAAAGTCAAACCTCTTATACCACTGCCTTGGGGATTGCTTCAATCCATTTAAGGATTTCTTCAACAAACAAACATGGTCTTCCTTTCCTTTGATTTCAAAACCTGGTGTTGCTTTATATAAATATTCTTTTCAAGTTTCCGATCTAGAAACGTTGTCTTAACATCCATCTGTTCTAACTCTAAATCCTCAATGGCAACCAAAGCAAGCAAAACACGAATAGAGCTATGTTTGGCAGCATGTGAGAAAAATCATTAAAATCAATACCTTGCGCCTGACTATAGCCCTTAGCAACCAATCATGTTTTATATCTTACTTTATCACCCCTCGGAATGCCATCCTTTTTCTTGAAGACCCATTTGCTTCCAATAATTCTCTTATCTGGCGGTGGTTTCACAAGAACCAAAGTATTATTCTTGTGGAGAGAGACAATTTCTTCATTCATCACCGCTATCCACTTAATAGATTCATCACACTGAATTGCATCTGAATATGTGGATAGCTCACTATCTCCACCTATTTCTTCTACAACAGACAGTGCATATGCGAAAAAGTCTGTATACCGCTATGGAGGTTGAGTGTCTCTTCGCTGTCTTCCAATGGCTATGGGATATGGCTCTTCTTTTGAACTTTCAATATCAACTAAAGTCTGTTGAATAGAAGAGTCTGGTTGAGGGTTGCTAGAACTACAGAATTCGAACTCCTCCTACTTCTGTGTATTCTGACTTGAACTCAAAGACTCCCTGTTAGACAACATAGTGATTTCATCAAATGTAACATCTCTACTGATTGCAAACTTTGGAGATTTGGGATCAGGACATCATAATCTATATCCTTTCACTGCAGAAGCATAACCAAGGAAAATACATATGTTAGCCCTAGGCTCTAATTTTCCTTCATTTACATGTATATATGTTGAACACCCAAAAATCTTTAAATTAGAATAATCAGCAGGAGTACCTGACCAAATGTTTTCAGGAATTTTGAAGTTGAGAGCAGAATTTGAAGAGCAATTGACAATCTAGGCAATTATGTTGATTCCTTCAGCCCAAAAATCCTTAGTCAATCCTGCATTGGAGATCATACATCTTGCCCTTTCCAAGAGCATTCTGTGCATACGTTCAGCCATGCCATTAGGTTAAGGTGTCATGCTGACCATGCGATGCCGAACGATTCCTTCTTTCTTGCAAAACTCAATGAACTCCCCCTCCGCAAAATTCCAAGCCGTTATCGGTTATCAACCGCTTGGTTTGTTTTCTTATTTGTTTTCAATCAAAACTTTCCTCTGTTTGAAAGTTAGGAAAACATCATTCTTATTATTCAAAAAATATACCCAAACCTTTCTTGAGTAGTCATCAATAAAATTCAGCATATACCTGGCACCACCTTTAGACGAAACACGGGATAGACCCCAAAGATCAGAGTGGATATAGCCAAGTGTACCTTTTTTCTTATGAGCTGCTGGTGACTTGAAACTCATTCTTTTATGTTTTCTAGAATACTCAATGCTCACAGAACTCCAACGATCCAGTACTTTGTCCACAAAGAAGACCTTTCATGCTTAAAATTCTCATGCCCTTTTCATTCATATGCACCAAACGTATATTCCATAACTTGGTGATGTCAGATTCAACCAAAGAGGATGTTGAAACAGCTGCATGCCCAATAACATTCGTCCCTTGCAAAGTATACAAGCTGCCATATCGGATACCTTTCATAATCACGAGACCACATTTGAAAATCTTCAAAACACCATTTTAACTCGTGTACCCGCAACCAAGTGCCTCAACTGTCCCCCAAAGAGATTAGATTCTTTTTTAAATCAGGAACATGCCTAATATTAGTAAGTGTCCTCACAATGCCATCATGCATCTTGATACGAACAATGTCCTTACTCATAACATTGCAAACATCATTGTTGCCTATTAAGACAGTTCCTTCGTTGCCTGAATCATAAGTAGCAAACAAATTCCTATTCGGACATATGTGATAAGAGCATCATGTATTCAAAATCCACTAATCAGTAGATCGTATCCTATCATGAGTAACAAGAAAAACACTACCCCCACTATCATCAGTAGCAACACTAGCTTCAAAGGTATTATCTTTCTTTTCAACAGATTTCCCTTTTTCTTATTTTTCAATTTAAAGCTATCAACTTTAATGTGCTACATCTTATGACAATAGCTACACATTATATTTTGATGTCTAGACTTTGATCTAGATTTACTATTGTCATAGTTTCTCATATCCGATCTCTCCCTAGAAACTAGGATTTCAGCATTAACCCCAATATTTTCTCCTGTGATATATCTATCTATTTGCTCGTTAGATTCCAAGGCAGACTTGATTTCTTGATAAGAGAAAAATTCTTTTCCATAAATCATAGAATTAGAAATTCTTAAAAGATTCGGGTAATAAGCACAAAAGTAGCAATGTCTTATCCTCATCATCTATCTGAACATCAATATTTTCTAAATCCATAATAATCGAATCAAAATTATCAAGATAGGAGAGTAATGATGTACGTTCCGTCATACGAAGCATATAATGGCTTTGCTTTAGGTACAAATGATTCTTAATAAACTTCTTTATGTACAAAGCCTTAAGCTTATCCCACATTGCCTTAGTCGAAGTCTCCGTAGCAACTTTCCAAAAAACCTCATCAGAGATATTTAAAATAATGCTCGAACAGGCCTCTTATCCAACTCAAAAAATTTGGACTTCTCTATATCCTTGTGAATGTTTTCAATACCCTGAATAGCCAAATCAACTTCACCTTGGACCTAAATGGCCTCCATCTTGAGTTGCCACATCAAAAGTTGACATTTCTTTCAAACTTGTCCATTACCGTCCTTACGATTATCATTGTGTGGTAACAAAAGATTTTCACAAATATAACAAGTGCTCTGATAACTTTTGATTTTGTCATATTTTATAGCTTATATTTATTTAATTAATTATTTATTTATGTCGAATTTTAGCATAATTTATGTTAATTTACTCTAATACTTGTATTTATTTCATCTTGTGTGTATAATATTAATTTATAAATTTTTAAGTGTAATTTATAATTATTTTGGTGTATAATTTAAGTTAATTGATGTGTTTCTTGAATTATATTTTTAAGCATTATTTATGTGCTATTTAAGTATTTAATTTTAGCTAAATTAATTTTATTTATTACTTATTTAAATAAATATTTATAAGGTGTTTATTATTTATACATGTGAGATAATGTTTGAAAACTTGTTTGAGAGTTCAAAACTGGCTTTAAAAAGCAAAAATGTCGGTTGGTGCGGACTCCGTGATCGGCGGCTGCACGGAAATGTGAGCGGAGCGGAAATCTCTGCATGAAAGTGAGTGATGGTGGCTATGCGAAAAACAAGCGGCGGCTGCATTAAATCCGTCCTACCTACCTCAACTCCTGCATTTATTTCAGTCACCCTCCATATATTCCTGCACTCTCGGAGCTCCCATATTTAATTCTTGCATCATCACTTAGCCAATTTTTGGCTATTTTTGTAATATTTATTCTAGAACCTTCTAGAAAATAGGTAATTCTTAGTAAGTTATTAGTAGTTATATTAGTAGCTATTTTTAGATGTAGTTAATTATGGTTATTTTTAGAGGTAGTTAGTAGCTAATTTTAAATATAGTTATTTATAGTTATTTTTAGAGGTAGTTAGTAGCTATTTTTAGAGATAGTTATTTATGGTTATTTTTAGAGGTAGTTAGTAGCTACTTTTAGAGGTAGTTAGTAGTTATTTTTAGAAGTAGTTATTTATGGGCGGTTGTAACCGCGAAGCTTCTAGAAGCTTTTCCTCCTATAAATATCCCCTCTAAACACACGTATACACACCATATATACACAATAATATATATTTTTTCCATACACTTCATTTTCTCCATTTCTTTTCTCCCTTATTTTTATCTAATTTAATAATACGAGATTTTCGGTTTTCGGTTGCGAGCAAACTGATTTTCTCCTCCTTTTTTCTTTTAATTCCTGCATATTATTTTAGCTAGTAAAATTCCTATCATATTTCTCCACCTCACTTTCACCCAAAAATTCCATGTTAGATTTGAATTGTTCAAGTTGGATTTCGACAAGGTTGCGGAAGGGCGATAGAATAATCGACTATTTCAGCCCTGTTTTGTGTCGCAAACAGATTATGGGTAGTTCAACGTAGCTAAGTACGCAGGAGCCTTGTCGACCTGCTTAGTTGCTGTTCTGAATTCGATTGCGATTAAAGAGAGGTAGCAGAAGGGTATAGCCACTAGCAGAACGGTTGGAAGAATAATTAATGGGGCATAGCCGGTGGTCTATTGGGTCACAGAAATTTCTAGTGACAGTAGTGTTTCTTGCTTATAATGTTCTTCGCCGGGTGTCGCTGAAGCCTCGTTGTAAATCCTCTAAGGTCGAGTACCAACCGAGTCGAGAATCGGCTTAAGCGAGCAACTGCGATCACGTTCATTCCTCCGAGCCGCCCCGCAATTATACATATATTTTTCTCTATCACACCATCATCATCCCGCTCATTTCATCCATGGAAATCTAGCCATTAAGGAACGCAAAAGTCAGACACAAACGCCTCGCTTCATCCTTTTCGAGATACGTATATTTTATCGCTTTTTAGTTAGATTTAATTTCTGCAATTTATCTTTTCAGCTTCTCCGATTGCATTAACTCATTGCATTTTTTCTAATTAAATATAGGATATTCACATATTCCCTGAGTTCGACCCGGACACTCACCGGTTAAAGAGATTTTTTATTTTTGATGAACTTTTTGGAGTTACGACACGAACACGCACAAAACTATTTTCATTATTACATATATCATTTTTTTTGTATCTTAAAAGATATTTTTAAAAATCTCAAAAAATCTTCGATCAGGCTCTTATACCAATTTGTTAGGAATATGGCCCAAACAAATATTTGCAGAACCTTACCATTGACAAAAATAAGAACGGATAATTTAAACAACACAAGAATATATACATGGTTCGGTCAAGATGACCTACATCCACGGGTAAAGACGAAGCAAAATTTCCCTATCAAGAGGGGAATACAAAATAAGCTCGAATAGATATTCAAAGGCCCACAAATATCAATCTCCCAAAAGCTCTCAAAGCCAAACAAGTAAGCAACGACTATATATGGAAATACTATTATTGAATTTTGGTGTGTCTAAAATCTGAACAAAGACTACTAATTTATAGGGAAGGACTTATGGAAAATTTGTTACCACAAACAATGTAGGACAATATTTTTCTTCAATTTGAAATACTCTGATGTGGGACAAAACCACATAACACTCCCACTAGCCACCAACGACCTTCCAACACAGGAAGTCATTTCCCTAATCCTACTAGTGAAAAAACTTTAGGATGATGAACAAAAGAATCAGCTTGGGAGTCATTTCCGCTAAAAGTCTTTTTATAAGGTTGTTATTGGTAAAAAAAAAAGCCTTCTAGATCTCAAAGAAGGTGAGGGCGTAGCTGCTCTATGGTCCCACATATAATTCCATACAAAAAGTTGGAAGACTTTGTTGGAGGCCATATCTCAAGGTCTCGGACAACTATCCATGCTTCAAAATAAAAAATTGACTTTGGAGCAAGTACAATCTGACAATGCAGTAGTAGACTTAAGTTTAAAGAATGATGAAAAAGTATGGCGACTAACATCGGCGGACTAGGTGGTGATCACTCTGCAGCCTACTCAACGGCTTGGACACCCTCTAGCGGATGTACGGTGGGTGTTGAACAATAAAAAGGTGAAAAAGATGCCTTTGGCAAGACACGAAAATGGTGGGAAAAGTACCAATGCTAGGAAGTAAGCCTTTAGCATGAAGTCAGGCTCCAAGAATGGTAAAATAGAAATTTTGGCTATCCAATTTTCAGGATAAAGTTGGAAATAGAAATGTTGGGGACTCCCGTTTACGGGATATGTAACTAATGGCTTAGTTTCCCTAACAAGTTCGAGCTTTTAGGTGAGACTGTCATTAGCATCCGACATGGTATCGAACTTTTAGGTGAGACGGTCATTAGCATCCGACATGGTATCAGAGCCTAGGCTAGGTCTCGAGTTCGAGTCCCGCCCGTCCCCATTTGTGGCATATGCATG